AATCCTCTTCTAGTTTATGAATCCCCAGAGGGACACAGTAAATACTCAATTTCCTCCAAACACATTTTATCATTTCACTGACACAATCCCTGGGTTTTGAAGAGATCTTCCCGTCTAACAAATGGAAGAAATAGAAGTAGCATTTACCACATGTGATGGACCTGCCAACGGTTTACAAACAGAACAACCTCACGTGCCGCAGACTCTAAACTTCAGACAACAAGTAAAACAGTAGGGTTTTTTTCTCTTCTTCTCTTGTGATCCTGTTTTATCGATGAATTTTCTCTACAGAAAATTTGTGTTGTAATGGAGATTTTTGAGACATTAAACAATGTGTTATAAAAGTCTGAGGATATGGGGTGACACATTTATGTCTGTGTCTATGTGACTCAGGCATGTCCTCTGTCAAGCTCATGGGGTCGTCCTAAGTGAAATTCAATTTCCCTCTTGACTTCCTGCACAGCCTAAACCTTAATGCAGTCTTTACATCATGAGTGTATGGAATTCACAGCAACACTGCTCTCTTGGGTGAACCAAGCCTATATGAATCTAAAGAAAGAGGAATAGTTAGCTACTTCTGTTCTGCAAAAAAATGGCTCCTTAGCACAGGCACTCATTTGCTTATGGTGGGCTGCAGCCAAGAAGCCCTTCATGGGTTGAAAGTGTCTCAATCCCAGATTCTGGTGGTGCACCAGATGACATAGCCTCACGGCTTAGCAGCAGGGCCCTGGGGCGGCTGGCTGTTCACCCTCAGGAGTGCGCAGCTAGGTGGGAAAGAGGCTACCCTCCCTGTCCTCATGACAGCAGTCACCTTACCCCACATCACCAACACAGGGAAAGATCAAAATCAAAACTTCAAGCCAGTGTCCACTGAATGTATATTGCTTTCATACCACCTTAAGGTAAGAAGGACTGAAATTGAACCGGTTAAGTCAGGAACCAGCTGTGGTCACAATAAAGAACGTGGTCAGCATGACTTTTTCCTTTCTGGATTAAAGAAAAACCTTTTGCATTTCATGTGGTGTTTTGATGATAGACCTATGTACTGAAAACACGTGTGGGAGCAGATGCATGTGTGAGCAGATGCATGCGTGTGTGTGTACATGCATGTGTTGTAACTTCTTTGCTTCTGCCAAATACTCCAGCACCGACTCTACTTGGGTCTGCTTTTCTCTGTCTTCGGTTATTACATTTATTGTTTTGAGCTCTCTAGGCAGAACAGCATATTGAATTTTAGTTGCTCTTGCTTGGATTTTTGTTTGCTTGCTTGTTTGTTTTTGGTTTTTAGACAGCATCTCACCAAGTTGCTTAGGGCCTTTCTTAATTGCTAGGCTGTCCTGGAATTCTCCTGTCCTTGCCTCTGAGATGATAGGCCTGCACCACCACACCTGGCTACCATCTTGTTTTTAATGTGTGAAGTTTAAAAACTTCAGTAGAAATGAGGACAATGGTTTGCTGAGAAAAATCGCCCAGAGTTACTTTGGTACTTAATTTCTAGAAAGATCCTGTTTATCCTGCTCTAAGTATCTGGTAAAAATTGCATGTTTATCATGTGTTTCCAAATCATTTTCATTTGCAGGATTTAAGTGAACCATTCTCTGAATTTTGCCTAATGAGATTAGTATAATGACTACAATAGATTCCAGAGAACTGATGAGACTTATTGTTATACTCTGAGTCACAACTTTCACATTTTATGATCAGTGGTAGGTCAAGCCATTAAACTATATTTTTGGTCAAATTAGGACACTCATCTTTTTAATGGCTTTGTTTCGTATTCTTTGCTTTCATAGGCTGGATTCATGGGGTTTAAAGACTTCTTTTGCCGCATTCTAAATTTAATTGCAAATGTATGTATCAGCATATTTAAAATGCTCAAGTTTTAACATCAGACATGAGTAGAAAATACTTCTATGAACAAGGATTTGTAGAACACAGTGGCACACAAGGCCCCTGCCCACTGGATCTTACTGCTCTCCCAGCGGAGGCTACAGACCTCAGATTCCGTGGGAGTCCGCTCTATGCTGCTTCCCTGTGCAGTCTGGGCACTCGGAGATGCAGCATCAGGCAGCGGTGACCCACCTTCTAAAGGAACCTGCTGTTCTGCACACTCTCTCTCATGTCTGACGTAAGGCGCAGGTGCCTGTGACTTCACAGAACTACACATTGTGTCATTTCTATTGGCACCCTTGCTGGTAACGTGACAGCTGGCCCTTCCTGGCTGTCTGCTCCTGAGACCTCGGTGCAGGACTGTCTTGGCTTTCCCATGGTCTTCCAGGGAGGGCTTGGAGTTTGTCTCTGTGTTTGTGCTGGTGACTATATAAATGCCTTTAGATGATGGCGCAGGGTTTCCCTGTCACTAGGCAGCTCTGCCGTGCACAGTCCAGCATGAGACACCACTGCAATGTCACTCTTCCAGAAAGTGGCGTCAAAGAGAGATTGTTAAAGAACACTCTGCCTTCAGGCTTTCAGAGGGTAACACGTGCAAGCAGGACTCACACTAGCCTGCCTCCAGTGCACATTCACAGTCACGCCTGCCTTCCACACTCTCCTCCTTGCACATTTTGAGTGGCAGGTGATGGAGCACAGCCTGCCTGGCCTGTCTCTCTGCCGGCTGTCCTCAGCCCAGGCCGCCTGTCCCTCAGTGCCATCTCCCATGTTGCTGGTAGTTGCGTGAYGTCCCTCCATCCTGATTTCTGCCTGGATTGGTGGGTGCATGGCTGCCCTCTCTCTGCGGCGTGTTTACATCTTGCTGTGAAGCAGGGGCTGGTTCTGTGCCCCAGTTTGCTGTGACTTCACTCTGCCACACCGTCTTGCTTTTCCAGGCCACCTGCCACTCCTTCACTGTGAATTTGTACCCGCGTTGGTCCACCCATGGCAGGACAGGCGCCCATGTTGGCCACCCAGGAGGGATGGGCATCCATGTTGGTCCACCCAGGCAGGATGGGCGCCCATGTTGGCCACCCAGGCAGGACGGGCACCCATGTTGGTCCACCCAGGCAGGATGGGCGCCCATGTTGGCCACCCAGGCAGGACGGTCTCTGGAGACTGGAGCTGCGCCCAGGGCCACAGCAGATTATTGCTCTTAACAAGAGATGAAGGACCTGTGGGCTGTCACATCCTTACCCATTTTTCACTCAATTTCTGAGTGAAGTGTTAACAGGTTAAATGACATTACTAAACAATTTTCCTACAAATACTAGCTCTTAGTATTCTGAGTTCTAACATCTACGGGGCATGCGGTGAGTCTAGAGAAGGTAGCAAAGAATGATCATTTCCTCCAGATCTCAAAGAACATGGTCCCCATGTCTTTCCTGAGTCACTCCACAGTACACTCTAACTAAATGATTTTTTGTTATTATTTTATTGTAAAAATTTAGTGTAATTCCTGTGGGGATAGAAATAGACAAACTGTCTTTTTTTTTTGGAAGATGAATTAGATATAAAATTTAAGGAAGGAAAAAATGAAAATAAATCAACTACAATGATTATGTATACATCAATATGCATGAATTTTTCATACATAAGCAAATGTACTAAGTATGTAAAAACAAATTATGTCATACATGTAAAAGGGGTGGAATTTAGTAGCTGGAATTTAATATTGAATTGTCTTTTTTTTTAAATTTCAAAATATGCCTCCCTTCAATTTGAGCATTTCTGTATTCTTGATAGTCTTTGCCCTCTGTCCTGTCTAGGGTATACTTGAAGTGTCCCAAATGATGCAGATGTGATGTCGCCCTGGGTTATATTTTTAGTGTTCTGAATTCTAACCAGAACCTCGGTGCTGCGTGAAGCACATGGTGTGAGTGCTGCTAAAAGGACAGCCCTTTCTGGATCGTCGGTTTCCCTTAGGAAAGAGTCTCAGCACCTCCTGCCCCTCTCCCAAGTGAAATCACCAGGTTCCAGGGCTTAGATTGTTGATCTAGGCCACAGACGGCCCGGCTCAACAGCAGGTGTCTCAGGTGGCCAGCCCAGGGGGAGGCGAGGACACTTCCCACCCCTGTTCCTCTGGGGATGGGAAAGTGACCCTGGTCTTGGGGTGGCACCCCTGGGCGTGCAGGTCTGGTCAGGGATAAGAGCATGTTGAGGAGCCGGGTCAATCCACCTGCCTGCAGCCACCCCAGCCTCTGCTTTGGCGTGGTGTGGGATGCAGGGTGCTGGCTGCGAGGTCCCCGTGAGGATCAGAGCCAGTAACACCTCCACCATCATCCGAACTGCACACTTAGATCCTCAAAACTTGTTCTTATAAATGAGAATTTTAACCCCTTCACCAAAAAACTGCACATTTATTCTGTAGTATTCATAGCGATGTATTCTTTATTCTCATGATGATATTTTGAATGGGAGAGGGCATCACTGCTAAATAATACTTAGAGTTAATTATCTGATATTATAGGCTCAATTCCTCTATTATAAGGGGCATTTCTTTTTGTCTATGGTGAGGGTCAGATCCCACCTGAGGGATATAAATAGAGTCCTGCGTACCTGGAAGCAGACCCTCCAGGAGATTCTTGTTGTTGTAGGTCAAAGTCAAGAGTGAGAAAGAGAAAGTCCTAGGTGGAGATGAACATGAGGCTTTGTTCTCAGCTTCTCTTTTCCTGGAGGAGAGAGTTCCCAGATTCACACCTCGGTGTTTTCATAAGGACCCTTAAGCATGTGTGAGACACAAAAGACAAGAGAGCAAGGCCACCGGTTGGCATGTCACAGGAGTGTCATTTCCTAAGGACACAATATTTTAAATTATGTGTATGTTAGAAGAGGGGTGTTTTGTACTGSTTTTTGATTCGCTGCAGGGTGGAAATGAAGTAAAGTGATGTTTAAGAGTTAGCTTGCAGTTCGACTCAGTTACTTGAAGTCCTTTTGGTCAGACAACCAGGAAAAGCATTAAAGCTTTTGCTTATTTCCACAGGAGGAGAGCAATAGAAAAAAAGAGCCTTCTTTTTCAGATTGTAGGAAAGTTCTTAAGTTGCTTGCTTCCTATCCCTGTGTTTCTGCAGCTGTGGGTCTCGCTGCATGCCAAGAGCCAGCGCTCCCCAGCAACGGCATCAGGATCGGAGACCGGTACCTGGTGAACGAYGTGCTCTCCTTCCAGTGTGAGCCTGGGTACACCCTGCAGGTAGCGTTCTCTGAGTCTTTGGGACACAGCAATATGGAAACCCTCGGACCGTTCAGTTGAAACTGAAGCCCAGAGAGCTAATTTAGTTTTCCTTTCTCGGTTTGTGAATCGAGCTAATTAAACCAAGCATTAAGCCCTGGATGTTGGTAATCCATGGTATCACTGGAAATAGTTTCTGTATCACAGAGCACTATTTATTTTTCATATTTTTTTAGATTTCAAAATACATGTTGTTCTAGAAACTATGCAGAGATAATTCTGTGGAGCAAAGTAGTATCACTGTGTGCTTAAAACCCCATCTTGGCTCCAGTTGCTGGGTGGGTGTGGAGCCCTGCCTGAATACCTGAATGATTTAGGATCTCTATCCCCTCTAGTCTTACTTTAGTGGTCTTCTAAAAAATTTGGATAAAATCTAGTGAATTGATACATGGAAATGGTCTTGTTTTTGATCTACTATAAAAATTTCAGTAGGGACTTCTCATTTGAAATGTTTATACTAAAATCAATAGCAGACTAGGACCTAGACTGGGAACCCATGACTATTTCATTGCTGTTCTTCAATAAATACCTTTAAAGGCTTTAGTCCTTTATGCTCATCCGTATTTTGGAATGTAACTTATTTAAAATAATTTAATAGATCACAAAATAAGTAACCAGAACACAAACATCAACATCAACAACAAAAATATTGTCCAGAATACCTTCTTTGAAAACAAACATTATGTTCGGTTACTGGAACGACTTCTTTTAACACCAGGAAATAGGAGGAAATAAGTTTCGTCCTGAATGGAGGACGAAGGGTTTCTGGCCCCGGCAGTGGGCTCGCGGTTGGGAACTGTGCCTGTGACCCCTGCTCCTTGTGCCCCTAGTGTGGCTGGAGTACTCGATGCGAATTAAAGGTGGGTTTTGCAGTCACCTCCACCACACTCACAGGTGGCCAATGGAAGTCCTAAGGTGGCTGGTGGTCACCTGAACGTGTGCAGCCCGGGCATTGCCCACTCTTCACCCTCCTGGTCACTCCTAGGATGGCCCACCTGCTTCCAGCCTCTCAGAGCATAAACAAGAAATGAACAAGATGAAAAAATAAAGACAGGATTTGCACACTTCAGGTAATCTTTTGCACACCCTGAAAAGGGCTGAAAGGAAAGATCACCTTTGAAAGGACGTGGCAAGGTGTTGCTTTTTGTGAAAAGGAGGGCAGTGACCATGGACTTCCGTGTGGATTCAAGATGTTCATTTCATTACTAATCAGCCAATATCTATTGACCTTGTGATTTGAGTTTTTTTTTCCCTGTGTAATTAAAACAAAAGTGGACAAAGAAAGTCTAGCTGCCCTAGAGACCTTGTGTCCTTGCCTGCTCTGGTATCCCTCCCTGAGAGCCATTTCCTTTCTTCCACAGGGCCGCTCCCACATCTCCTGCATGCCAGGAACTGTTCGCAGGTGGAACTACCCGTCCCCACTGTGCATAGGTAGGCGACCCTTTGAAACCCTGGCACCGGAGCGAGGAGCGGCACACGGCTGCCCCTTCCCCTCGGGGCTCACGCGGGGCACTTCCTCACCTCTCCAAAGCATTTGTCACATGGTGATAATGACATGATGCAGTGGGGGCCTAGCAGGACGCACCAGCAGCACAGCAGCTCACCTTTGTGTGAGGCTACAGGCACGGACGGGATGCTGGGTTCCCAGCTCAAGGCATCTGTCAAATTGAACTCATATTAATTGGTATCGTTAGTTTATGGGGATGAGGAGGGTAGCTGTTCTGAACCGAGCTGCTTTTTTACAAGGTACGGAGAATGGGTTTTCATTAAAAAGTCAACATGACCCCCGATGAGCCTCAAAGATAGACATGAGCTATCCCAGGGGTTTGCAGACATTAATTTAAGGTCCGTTCACGCTCCAGAACACCAGAATCAAAGTCTGTGAGAGGTCGTGTTTGTCTCCTAGCTCCTGGGAACTGTCCTGCTAGCTCTTGGTCATCAGTATGCTAGTTAAGATTCTGCAGACAGATGTTCTCGGAGGTTTTGCCTCCTTAGCACTGTTCTCAGAGCCTGACCGACAATGACCATCATGAATGTCATGACAAGCCCGGGGCAGGTCAGGCAGTCTGCCAGGGCTCTGCAGCTGAGCTGGTGTTTGCACCAGGATCGGTGGCGGGAGACTTCTGGGGGTCTTCAGGGCATAGCTGGTGCCTTTAGTACCAAAACACCAGGAACCTGCACAAATGAGACACAGAGATCCCTCTCTAGTTTAAAAAATAATCGTCTTGTCCTTTAGGAACACTGTGTTTAGTAATGACTCTAAGTGTGCTGTTTACCCACAGCAAGGGTCAGACATGGGGGGGGGGCTGCTGAGAGCAGGCAGGAGGTGACAGGGGAGCCAAGAAGCAGACTGCAGCTGGACAGTGCCTCTGAGCCCTCAGGAGACAGCCTGGTCCACGGTGGATCTCTCAGATGGCAGGAAGCGGGGACTGGCCAGGCCCTGGAACTCTGTTTCACGCTCCTCGTTGGCTTCTAGTTTCCAAGGGGCAGCAAGAGTAAGAGCATTACAGCTTTTGCCACCKAGTTCCCATGTAGCTGGCAATTTCCTGCTCTACAGGAGACGGCCCCAGCCTCTGGGCCCCACAGCGACCCCACACTAGCACCTGGCTGTGTTCCTCGGTGCTGAGAGTGACACTCCAGCTGTGAGCCAGATGCTTACACGTGGCCCTGTCCCTCCCCAGCTCAGAGGTCGTGGTCTTCTACGACCACCAGACTTCATTTTCACCATGCTTGGGATCCAGTGGGTCTTCAGGACACGTCGCTGATGAGCACTTGCCTTCCTGATTCTGTCACCAGTCTGTCACTTTTCATGTGTGTCCTCCCTGTCCCTGGACATGAGTCCTCTCCTGGAACTGGAGTGGCCCTAAGGGGAGGGCTGCTGCTCCCCTGGAGCACCCTCAGCAGAGCCCACAGACTCACGCCCCCGACGCTGGCCCCGGACAGTGGCCTGGAGAGGCCGTGGAGAGGCCCTGGAGAGGCCCTGGAGAGCCTGTGCTCTGAACCTCGGTGGGTGGACGTCCCGAGGCCTTCTCTGGAGGCRTGACTCGGACCACCAAAAGAGACCTGTGCGTTTCTTCACGTGTTGGGAACCCAGGACAGGAGCCTGACTCCCACCTGCTTCTCAGTGGGATCCGCCGTCTCGGGGTCTGCTCACCTGGATGGTCAGGGAGCTGGGCAGGGCCTCCAGAGAACAGTGCTGGTGTTTGCGTTTTTAGTTTAGACATGAAACTGCCACTTAGCAGGTCACAGGTGGCCAAGTGCCAGTTTCCAGGGCTCCGACCTTCCTGGCCTGTGTGTTGTGAAGTCAGCGTGTTCTTTACAGGCAAACCGCACACATGTAGTGGAGCCCGCGRGCCAGCAGGGCAGGCCCAGTGCACACACCTGTCACACCATCACAGACACCTGGACTCCTGGGGAGAGTGGTGGCTGCAAGCTGCGTCCCCAACCAGGAAGAAGTCTGAGGGCCATGGGGGCTGGTGCCCTGGAGGGTCCTGGGACCSAGCAGGGCTGGAACCCTGTGGCTGGGCTGCTAGAACTTGAGGCCGGGCCCGACTCTCTCGAGGCTGGGCTTCATGGTCTGTCACATGGGGAAATCTTCCTGCAGGCTTCAGGGCTGTGCTGAGGGTTGTGATGGTGGCGGTGACAGGGTGGGGCTCCTTTGTCCCAGCACAGCGGGCCACTCTTCCCCGCAGGTCAAACAGAGCTGTGGCATGTGACACTTGTGGGGAGTGGCTTCCCTGAGACTCACGGCTGTTGTCCCCCTTACAGCCACCTGTGGAGGCACGCTGACCAGCCTGGGCGGAGTGATCCTGAGCCCCGGCTTCCCCGGCTCCTACCCCAACAACCTGGACTGCACCTGGAAGATCTCCCTGCCCATTGGCTATGGTGAGTGACCACCACCCACTCCTCCTCTACAGGAGCAGGCTGACACAGATGTGCCCTGTCCTGTCGCATGACATCATAAACTGAGAGTGGATCAGGGCTCAGCAAAACTTTGGCAGGAAAGCTTGAGAACAGGAAGTTGTTTGAAGAGTCWCCAGAGGACTCTTGATGAGAATTAGATCATCTGGGTGATGACGAGGTAGGCACGGGGCGCAGGCACCCGCATGCGGTGGACACCTCTGCATTTATAACTCCACCTACTCCAATCTGTCTCTGTGGTTCAGTCCTGGTCACTTTCTTTTGAACAATTTTGAAGATGTTCTTCAGGTTGTGGCACATTTTAAACAGAATATATAAAATKTAGGCGGGAACAGTGGTGCACATCTATAATCCCAGCAACTCAGGAGGCTGAGGCAGGAGGATCATGAGTTCAAAGCCAGCCTCAGCAAGTTGGTGAGGCACTAAGCAGTGCAGTGAGACCTTGTCTCTATATATAGTACAGAAAAGGGCTGGGGACATGGCCCGTAGTTAAGTGCCCAGAGATCGAGCTCTGATACAAAAAAAAAAAGAAAGAAAGAAAGAAAGAAAGAAAGAAAGAAAGAAAGAAAGAAAGAAAGAAAGAAAAAGAATATATGAAAAGATAGTATTGCATTATTAGTTTTTTATTATATATTATATTGATTATAGATTTATTAAAATCTTTTGACATTCAGCTATTAACTCTCAGGTTTTTACCTTTAAGTAATTCATAATTCTGATGGTTGTGAACACAGACACTCGGGCCTGTCTTGGGCACACTTGGACTTGGTGAGACCTGGGCCTTCTGGCCAGTCTGTCTCCGTCGCTCCCTGGCTCCCTCCTCTCTTTAGTCCACCCTTGGTCCTCCCTAGAGCATGCCGAGGGGCACGAGGTGGGTCCTCAGGGCATGTCCTGGGACATGGGAACTTGGGTATTATTAGTAGATTGAGAAATGAATAGACACATAAATGGAAATCATTGCTCCAAAAGGAGGCTGTGGTTTTTATTAAGTTTCATTAAGTTTTGTTTTTTCTAGATATACATGTCAGTATTTTGACATATCATATCTACATGGAAAATAACTTCCCACCTTACAGTTGTCCATGATGTGAAGTTTCACTGGTCATGYGTTCATGTAGGAACATAGGAAAGTTACGTCTGATTAACTCCACTGTCTTTCCTTTTCCCGYCCTCTCCCTTCCCTTGATTCCCCTTTGTCTAATCCAGTGAACTTCTATTCTCCCCACCCTTATTGTGTGTGAGTATCTGCATATCAGAGAGAACATGGGCCCTTGGTTTTTAGGGATTAGCTTATTTCACTTAACACAATAGTCTCCAGTTCCATCCATTTACCAGCAAAAGTCATAAACTCATTCTTTTTATGACTGACTAATATTCCATTTTGTATAAATGCCACATTCTCTTTATCTATTCAGCTGTTGAAGGGTGGCTAGGTTGGTTCCATAGCTTAGCTATTGTGAATTGAGTGCTATAAACATTGATGTGGCTGTGTCACTGTAGTATGCTGGTCTTAAGTTCTCTGGGTATACACAGAGGAGTGGGATAGCTGGGTCAGATGGTGGTTCCATTCCTAGTTTTCTGAGGAATCTCCATACTGCTTTCCAGAGTGTTGGCACCACTTTGCAGTCCCATCAGCAGTGTATGAGGTGCCTTTTCCCCCACATCCTTGCCCACACTTCTTACTTGTATGCTTGATAACTGCCCTTCTGACTGGAGTGAGCTGAAATCTCAGTGTATTTT